AAGTATGGAACAATAAGATGTTTAATATATGATGGAGCTTGGTTGTTAAGAGCTTTGTATGTTAGGAGTAATATTTTACATGCCTCCCATCAAATTCAGAATAAAATGTAGAGAAAACCTCAAACTAAAGAAATAAGATCTCTCCTGCTAACTCTAGTCAGAGCTCTAGCAGCAACTTTTTAGATCAACTGAGGACTTTTAAAGAGTTAATAAAAAGATAATAAAAGGAATAAAATCATGAAGTCTGCAACCTTTTTGAACAAGGTTTTTCTAATTTTAGTGAAACTATTCAGGTAGAAAGTGGTCACCGTTACATTTTTAATGTAAATGTTAAATGAAATGTCTTTGGTGAAGAAAAACACCAAGGTATTTTACATTAGAACTGGAGRCCACATTAACGACTAAAATGCTTCCAACATGTYAGTTGTGTTTAGATGCTCAGATAAATGACTTACAGCTATTTTTTCAAGATTTTTTTAGTGAACAAGAGATTGAATATAGGTCAWTAATAGACCAGAACTCCTGAATCAAGATCAGGTTTCTTAATTAAAATTTTAATAAAGTGACCTTAAAGCCTCGTGGGACATAACCACTGATCAATAACAGATTAAGCAGCTCGACTACAAGGATAATAATCATAGAAAACACATCTTTATCAGTCTGGTTGGAATGCAGTCTAGCAGACATTTTTCCTTTTATTTTTTTGTGGAGACTGTGCACATTGATCTAACATCACTGCATTAACACAACACCAAAAAAGAACCAGAATTAAGTGCGTTACTACATTTAATCCTCATGAAATTGATGGTTGGATGAAGCCAGGGGTGGACTGGGGCAAAAAAAGTGTCAAAAAGTGGAATTTAGTACCTGACTGGCCCATTCAAGGTCCAGGCTGGCAGATGGTGGAGGTGGAAACAACAAACGTCATCTCAGTGCACTGTACAAAATCTAAAGATGACATGTTGAGGAATTAGTAAAGTAATTAAGATAGCAGAGCAGCAGTTAGCTCGCAGGTGTTGACCCTCAGAGTTCCATATGGTCATTTTTAACTCTTTTTGATTTTACCCCCCAAAAATAACATTATTATAATCTAATGCGGTATCATTTTCTTTTTCCAGCTCATGAACTGTGTGAATTTAAACTATTTTTTTCATTTAAATATACTGGTATTGTATAGTAGACCTTAAATAAATAAATAAATAAATTCAAGTAAAATAAAATAAAAATCCAAGTGGGCCAAGTTATTTGTGAAACCCACAAACATTTATGAAT